CAAGGCAGAAAATATCTTTGGTTGGACAGTAACACAAGTACCAGCCTGAGTACTATTATCATGCATCTTCTAAGAACTTGGAGACTTGTTCTACAGAGCATGCCCTATAGCTGCTGACATACTATATTTTGATTATTACTAGCTTATAGTACTGGTACAGCACTTAAATACCCTATTTATTGGAAAAAAGTGTTAACACTACAAATAATGAGTACATAAAAAGAAGCTTTCAAATAAAAATAGGTTGGATTTCCAGAAAGCTCAGTATTAGTCTCAATTCTGCTCTATTCATGTCAATAGGAAATAAAAAAAATCTACAGTGTATCTTATTTTAATCCTATCTGCTCCCAAAGTTAAATATGAGCCAGTGTTCTCTCCCGAGACACTTGATATATTTTCTAAATCTAGCTATTGCAGCTAGTATACAAGATCCAGTTTTCTTTGTTCCTTGCACAGAAAGATATTACATTGGTTTTGATGGAAACACTACTGCTAGTATTTATTTTTTGCATTACTGAAACATTGAATACTTTTTCGTAGTGTTTAATATTATTCCCTTTTGCATTGGTTACGAGTTTGACTTGAAATCTCTCTTTAAATGACACAGTAGATCACTGATTAGAAACAAGTCACCTTACCTCTGGAAAACTTGCATTTTTGGTATAGTGTCCCACTACCTACCATATTCATATTTACTTCAGAACTGAACATACATAGTCAAAAGCAAGGAAACAAAATCCTCCTAGTTACTGAGACAATCCTGAAAATGTATTTTCTCTAAAATATTAGAACAGGTTCAACAAAAGAATAATCTATAGCTATTATTTAGCTTTTTTGATGTGAACAGAAATATGTGACAGCACCCTTGGAAAGCAACAAACATGAAATTCCGTTATTTATAACCAAATCCGTTAGTTACCAATGTGTGTGATTTGAAAATCGTATTTCATTCATTGAAAACAAAAAATAGTTTCCTACTGAAGCTGTGCAAGTCATTTTAAGATGTAAGAAAAAAAAAATGACAGTACAGATTTCTGTCAAAAAGCCGACACTTTCTTCTCATACAACTTGTTACTGTAACAAGAGATAAAAGATTTTTATGCTAATTTTTCTTAGCTTTTGAATCAAAGGAAAATTAAGCCAACTAACATAAGATAAAAGTTTCCAGGGTTATTCTGGTGCTTAGTAAAGTATTCCCCCGTATAGGGGAAGGAAATTAAAAATATCAGTAGATTCTCACTCCCAAGGCAGCCCTAGGTTAGTCACAGAAAATAAGATGCTCTCTGAATTTCTTTAGAATTTAATCATCACTGCAAAGCATTTCTGAACTTTTCTATAGAAGCAATTAAAAAGAACACACACAGCAGACAGGCACAAAATGGTCTTTAACAGTCCACCTGCAGATACTAGGATTCACAGACTCTGGAGAGCAACAAGTTGTACAACTGGCATTCAAGATCCTATAGGCCATCATCTGCCAAATTTTAGACTGCCATGGCAATTAGAAGCTATAAGAACAGAGAGATTCACAGGTAACATCGAGTCAAAGATGCTGACGTAGGCATGTAATGTAAAGACAGGCATCCCAAACTCACAACTTGCTATGAAAGAGCAAGTAAAAGGATAAGCACACAATGGAACATGTTTGTTGGTGTGACTAAGTCACCAAACCCTTTTAATCACAGTTTATACCAACACCACTTTTTATTCAGCAAAACTGTGACCACATTAAACCTTTTGCCAACACAGCATTGACAAAGAGGTATGACACCATCTTTGATATTACTATACTCATAAAAATTTACAAGCATGTACACTTAGCCTAGAAAAACTCCTCCCATATTACAGAAGGAGGAGCACAGACAGGAAACTGGCAGGAACAAGCATACAGAGGAGAACTTTTTCTGCCTTCTAGATGCAAAGTTTAATACTTCGGAAATACTGACAAAGAAGCTGGAACCCCAAACAAGGATTCAGTGTCATCCTCTCTTTTGAAACAATAACACCTTTTATCTGGTCAATAACTGACTCTGTATCACGTGTCTATTTGGGAGCTCAAACCTCTAGCTGAGCACCTGAGGAATGTTTTCAACAGGCATAAACTTAATGAACAAGAGCTCTAAACAAGTGCTTATTCATTTTCAAAATTAGGTAGAGCAATACTTACTCCCTTACACACAAGTTTTTACTTTAACATAAATTAACATGAACTAAATTCCTAAGCTATTCCAGAATTAATAGTTATTATCTGAAAAAAAAAAAATGCTATTTCAAAACTGCAAATTATGCACGAGAAATTAATTCTAGGTCATATAGTTCCTCTACAACTTTTTTCTTCCTCATCTTGGATCTGTTTCTGCTTGCAACATTCTTCTGGCTTATTAGACGTTTATAATTGAGGCAGAGATAAAAATGCTTATTACGAAGAGCAACAATTATTAACTGCTGTGAAAATAAACTGGCTTGTGTGTAACTTATAGAAAGCAACAGATGGCCAAGTAGGGGATGCTAAAACAACAAACACGAGAGATTTTGTTGCTCACTTTGCTTCTCCACCCCAAAGAATACAATCAACAGAAACTGCAAGCATTTCTCAAGTAATATCTAACTGCGCAGAGGAATTCGTCCTGGAAAAAAAAAGATACACGAAATAATTATAAACTGCAGAGGTATACTCTAAAATTTAACACCGATGTCTTGGGCTTCTACACTTGTTTTCGCACAGTTTTACATTACTGAAGATCCTCCACATTCACTATGCTCCTTGATACCCTTTTGGTTGCCAATGCTGCTCAATTCCTTCTCCTTTTTCCAATCCAATATTCCTGCAATCAGCTAACAGGTAGAATGGACTTCAAGCACAGACGGAAAAGTAAATTAAAGTGAGAGATGAAACATTGATTCGGTAGGTCTCTCTGAAAGTATGAAAAAGCTTTACTTCAGAAATACCAAGCAGTACCCATCACCCATTGCTTCATTTGCTTAGAATTGCAATGACACACAATACCAGTATTTGCTTAAAAGAAAGACATTTCCTGTGGACCAAGCAAACTACAAACAGGTAAGGGAAAAAAAGGGAAAGAGCAGGTCACTCTATTGGTTTCTTTTCTTAAAGATGAACTACCTTTAATTAAAGAAGGCTCAATTTACACAACTGACAGTGACAGAAGCACAGCTGTACTGACTTCAGGTACACTACTGGATTGGTTATCATGGGAAACGAAGGTTGTATTGTAGTCAAACACAGAAATAGGCTCTGCCATTTTGTTTGCACCAAGTTCTGAACATTAACAGTGAATAAGATGTCATAGTTCAGAGACCTTGATGGATAAAGCTTGCATTGCCTATTGATAACCCATTCATTTTTTGCTGACAGGACTAGTGCTAATAGAAGTTGAGATTTTCCAAGAAACAAATCGTTCTTGCACAGTAATTCTGAATTAGTGTTTCCTCAAAAACACCACATGTTTTGAGTTAAGTACCCAGTTCCCAAACTCCATACATTTAACAGTAACTTCTCTTCTCCTGCTCAGCTCCTTATACAAACTTGTGAGCTGAAGGCTAAGTGAATGTAAACAGACAATACCAAGTGCTCGTGCAGTCCAAGAGAGAAAATCAGAGGCAATATGCTTTCACACATTCTGGACTAAAACTACTGCAGCAGATTATTAATCTAATTACCAGTTTTATATCAAAATTAACAATGATGAATTCTGCCCTTTGAACAGTCATGAGAAAAAAAAAAGAAAAAAATCACAATGATACACCCTAACACAAGAGTTTGGAAATAAACTTGTACCTGATAATCCTACACTTGATGTCCTTATGATTTCATCATCGATAAACAATTTTCTGACAGTCTGTAACTACAGTCACTAAGGAAAAGCTCTGCCCGAATCCTACAAAGACTCAAAACTATACCATCAAAGCAGACAGTAAGCAGATATGCTCATACTCCATCAAGGAACGTTCACCATCACACACTTCTTAACACACAACATTGGCAGGATACACGCAGGCAGCTGAAACAGCCAAACTTGACCTATAGCCCTATAATTAGATAGAATTGACGAAAATAAAAGATTCCATAACCTGACTCATATGCACAGTCACACCTAGATAGATCCTAGTTCATTCTGGATCAAGGGCACTGAAACACAAAAACAAGTGTAAAATTCTCCTCTTCCACTGGAAAAATCCAGATCCTCATATACCTCAGACCAAGAAGATGTGAAAAAATTCTCACACTGATACTGGAAGTTAGTAGAATCTCCTCAACTTCTTTTGTCTAACTAGTATGGTATGAGAAAGAGAAATGGAGTGTCCTGAAACATCCAAGTCTTGTCAGACACTAGCAACGGCAACGCAGTAAATACCTGCTGAGACCATACAGTCTGTTTTTTAAAATCCCAACTCTAAGAATTTACCAGCTGAACAAAAGTTAGTTACTCCAGTTCCACTGGAAAACATAATCACACTTGAAATACCAGATTTAGCACCCAGAGGTTGTAGGAATCTAAAATTTTTTGGCCTCAAGAGCCCAAATTGCACTGTCAAAATAAGCACCACATGTTGCTGCTCCCATTAAACAGAAAAATTCGGTCTCCAACACATTCTGGTACAAAACAACCCAGGAAGAAACATCTGGGAACACAATCTTGCCAAATCCATCAGATCCTTGTTCACAAACATCTACGTCTGACTGCACAGAAAAAAGTACTGAGCCACAATTAGATGACTAGGAAAATCTACACCTTCTTAAATCCTGACCTGAGACCTTGGAAAGGTTAAGCCTCATTATATTACATAGATTTTCAAAGTTGGTTTTTAAAAAAAAACAAACCACTAGACAGTTTTCCTGTACTTTTTTTTGTCCCATGGTTCAACCAATTCTGCAAAGGTAGAGGGGAGCAGCTAGAGAGAACAACTAAAGAAGATGTCACAGAGTAAGTAAAAGGTAACACTAAGGTGAAGATATCTGGACCATGTGGTAGCCTCACCTCCTGGATTCGCCTGCGGGCCCGCTGCAGCACTTCCTCGTACCCCTTCTGTCGCAGCTCACTCAGGCTCTCGTAATACTCTTCGGGGTCGTCAGTCTCCGTGAAGAGCACCTGCGAAAGGATCTTCCAGCCGCAGGTATCCAAGCTGTGGACCAAGTAAACTTGCAGCTTGTAGCAGAGAGCGTCCATCTCCTGCTCAGATAGCTCCGGGGCTCCGAACAGCACCGTCCACATGCCCGAGGGCTCCTCGGGGAAGGCAGGCAGGTAGGGCTCCAGCTCCGAGTTCACCGAGCACAGCTGCTGGTGCACTGCCCGCAGGTCTTGGAAGGAGAAGAGGCCTGCCCAGCTGCACTCCTCCCCCGCGGGCTCCGCGTCGGGAGCGG